CCCACTCAAGTAAGCATTTGCACGTACATCAGCTACTAATTTTAGGATGAAGCTTTTAGCCATATGTGAGAGCTGCTCACGAAAGCCGCCGAGCACTGCAAAGTGTATTTCTAGGGAGACTCAGCCCCGACCACCGGGCCCTGGTACCGACGGGCACCCGTAAAAGCCGCTGCTACCAATTGCAAGACAACCTGCAGACACGGCTTTGGTATCCCACATTATCCACTGACAGATTTACAGAAGCCTGGGACACAGTGAGATTTATTGCTTCAGTTTTAAGTACTAAGGAGCGATAAATTCTTCCGACAAGTTCACTTGATACCATTCCGACTCCTTCCTTTCTCTCCAGCCTCGAGGGAAAAGACGTACGGAGGAAATAAATTCCTACCACATCCACCATCATTTACTCCAGCGCATTCCCACCGTAAGAAGAATAAACCCAAGGAGTGATGATCAAGCACAAAATGAACACTTCATGCATTTTATTGAGTCTATTTAAATTTGCATTATGACATCTTACATAGGGAACAAACTCCTCCTAAATGTTAGCTATCAAATCTGGTCGAACTGTTGTCCAATGACCTCAGAGTACCATTTTGTATTAAACAAGTCCAGTATAAACAGATGTAAAGCACTGTACAAAAAAAAAAAAAACCCAAAACCCCCCAAAAACCCTCAAAACTGTTACATTCTCAGTTGAATTCAGGGCTTCCCAACCAACAAACAGCCTTACTAGCAGATAGTGAAATTCAGGAAGGGGGTGGGCTCGGGTATTTTAGCTTAAGGGAACAAAACCAGATAAAACAATCAAAACAAATTCAATGGTATGTTTCCCTATAAGAAAAAAAAAAGATACCTCATATCAAAAAGAGGTTGGGAAGCCCTGGTATAACAGATGCAAACTTCTCTTCTTTTTTAACACAACACAACTTATATGCAGTTTGGGTCAGTTACCATTGATTCTGTCTCTTCACCCCCCTTCTTCCCTCCCTAGTCAAGGATAAACAAACAAAAAGCCTGGTGTACTTAAGGGTTGGAAATATTTCTGAATTTGTTACAAATTCCTTTAACATGGCGCCAAGCCAACCCTAATCCAAAGCACCTCCTCCTGGCAGAAGGCAGAGGAGCAGGCAGACATTTCCACCGCCACCGTGCACCTCATCAGCTCCGCACATGCTTCCATACCCTTAATCAAGCAACGCGAGCCCCCGCGGCAGGAGCAAGGATGACCGGTGAGAAAACGGAGACATCAGAGTTACACATTAATGAAAAAGATCCCAAACTAAGGACAAGGCTGCGGCTAAGCCAACCGGATGAAGCTTTGTACTGCAGCGTGCCGGTGAAGATCACGCCGGGAGATTCAGAAAACCCCTCACTGCGTTGCTAAAAGTCAGAGACCGACTGTCAGCCTTAACTGCGCTTCGTTTCTCATCTTCACATTAGACCCTCATTATTATGAGATCAAGGGAACCTCCTCGTTGTGTAGGCAACCATTTCAAGATAAACATCGACTGTAGATATACCAGGGAAACAGTTCTTTGGACTCTCTGCATTTGCGACAAGTGACATGAAGACGGGATGACAGTCATTATGGTCCATTGTGCCAACTTTGGTGGGAAATCCATCCGTTTGCAAGTTGACACAATGGACAATTTAGGGCTCCTTCAAAACTGGCACGGTATCACGTCAGTGCAACTGCTGTGTCCGCACATCAACACTTCCTATAAAGTCTTTGAACTTTTAACGAGTAATTTCTATGCACGCAGTACCTACACTAATCAAATCATTTTTAAAACAAGTCAATTAACTGACTACAAGTTCTTTGCAAAAAGCCCAACTTGTTTGAAGAAATAAAAAAGTGCACGTGAAAGGGAAATCTAACAAACCCCAGAAATAACTCTTGACAGTCTTTTAATGGATAAAGCCCCAATTAAAAAAATAAGAAAATAAGCACTCACAATTCTGTACCAGTTCACCATCTGAGTTAAACCACCAAATGCACTCTTAAATAAAAAATAGTGTGCGGTCTTCTAGGTTTGGCCTCGTGACTGCTTTAACTGCTGCGCATGGAGGTTCTGTGCATACAGGTCTGTCCTGTCAGAAAGGAATTAAGCTCGCGCACCATATACTCACAGCAGGAGGTTGGGTGGTTTGCAGTTTGAAAAAAACACCACGATAACTACAGAGGCAGGCAGTAAGAGAGAACAACCTTCAGAAATAAAATAAAGCAACTAGCCTCCAGTGCAAAAGAAACCGTGCTGCTCCGAGCCAGGAGTTACCCCGGCTTTGAAGGAAGGCTAGGAGAGGCTCCCACACGGTGGCACTGTGAACCAGGCAGCTGACACAAGGCTGTCTCTGCCTCTTCAGACTCCTTGTTTTTGTCCCATCAGGCCTTTGACAATGACAAAACTAGCCCTTTTAACCCTTCATGTGGCTACCAGCATGACTCAAGTGGCTGTATCCCTCCTGTAATACCAAGACAGCAGAAACTGAGGGAAGCAATAAGTACAAATGCTCAATACCAAAACGGTTCAGAAACTGTGCGTTAGGCTACTGGTGAACGTTGTTAAGAGTGCCTTTCATATCCTGCTAGCAGCTAAGTGTTAAGATCGGCTTTTCCTAACTCCAATCTAACTTTAAGAGAATAGAAATGGAATTGCCACAGAGGCCAAACAGATGACTCAGCTACATGAAGAGGTCTTTCCTGTATCAGCGACTTAATTTCTGCCAACTCCCCTAGACGTCAGGCAGCAAACCCCCAGCACCTTTAGCACACTCAGCATTGGAAAAGGCATATAAAACATGGAGAACGTTCAAGGTCTCCTCAACTGAGGTTAAATTATTTGTTCTTGGTACTATTTGGGAAACCTCCAACATTTTATTAGTTGCTATTGTTACAGAAAGATAAAATGTTAAGGCATGCCACTATTAAGCTATAACAAAACCGTAAAGTTGATTCTACCAACGTGAACAGTTACTGGAAATTCAGAACATTAAAAAGAAAGCTATGTTGAGTGACACGTATCACAGCCGTGCTTCACATTAATTAGCACTAGCGGGCTCCTTTCTGGTCACCAGCCTTAGTCCTCAGAGACATGTGTCAGACTTTCAAAATCCAACGTGGCATTCATATAGAAAAGTGGGGTGTGTGGTTTGTTTTTTTTTTTTTCTTCTAATTCTGTGCTCCAGTAAGTCAGTAAATCTATTGGAAACTGCAAGTGATAGCACATATTTGCTACGTGAATGCTACTGAAAAAAAAAAAAATCAGAAGTGTTATTTTGTTGAGGAAATTCTGGCATAGAGAGTCCAGCACCTGAAATTAATAGCTGACTTCCAATTTTACAGTGATGCATGTCAGAGGGAAAAATTCAAAAACATAAGCTTATTTATTCTTCTGTTCAAAAAGAATACACATATCCCCTCTGCCATGACGGTGTGTCCCACCAGGAGGAAAGCACGCTCCATAGCCAGTCAGGGTTTCCCACTGAACCAAACACCACAAAACACACACGGAGAAAAAAACCTGGAAATTTTGGGACACGGTGAAATCCTTAACTAGCTGATAAGGTGTTAAAATGGCTTAGAGCACTATAGTTTATGCAACCACCACTATAAAACACCAAAAATGTGTTTTAAGTAGGAAAAAGAGATAGGCCAGCTTTGGTTTTGTCATCTGAGGAAGAAGCAACATTTCCCATATAGCCAGCAAGAGCAGTTCATACCCCTTCAGAACTACTGCCCTGGAGTCAAAATAAATACTGTTGCACACGTAAGCTAGAAAAATAATAATCATTAGAGCATAAAACAAAGCACACGTCATTGAAGGTGAAGGATGTCTTCCCCTGACACTGATCAGAGTTGAGGTACATTCTCCAATTCTCAATTTCAAATGCCAATACATAATTTTAAAAGTAAATTCGACTCATTTTAATCTGTCCAATAGGAGCATAAAGAGTTTGTTGGACTTTTTAAATGTTATCCTTAGAATTGGTTACACATTTAAGTGTACTCCCATAATCAATTATAATTTTCAAATTCAACCTAACACTCTAATAATCTGTTTTCCAGTTAATACTTATTTTTCTGTGGCACTTGACTCACAGGCTACCAACACTGGATATATCAGCATGTTCACTCAACAGATCCAGAGGTTACTAATACAGTTGAAGCTGGTGGTGAAGGAGAAGAAAAAAAAAGTCAATACTTGTCTGCTGAATAGTTAGACAGAGTTGCCCCAAAAACTGAAAGTAAAAGAGGATCGAAAAATTGGGCATAAACCTCACTGAATGAACCGGTACACACCGGTTCATATTACTACATATTAGCAACCATACCAAGAAATAACCAACCGTCAGAACAGTTTCTAATTTTTATCATCTTTTTGGGTGGCATTACTGAGCCAAAACACTGCACTTATAACATTTAATTTCTGTTTTTTAATGCAATTAAGAGGTCTAATTCAACTGGTTTTATATTACAGTAGCTGTTCACATAAATAGTACAGATATGCACTGCTCTTGACAGGTACACAGTTACAAAAGCAGCTCTCGTATTTACTTTGCTCTCTGTGTGGTGGGTTTTGTATGAAAAGCATTCTTGATTTCTAAGCATGGTACAATTTTAATTCTTAATGCGTTAGTACAACAGTGCATTGGAAAAGTACTGAGCTTCTACAAAAAAGCTTTACAATTTTAAAACAGATTTTTTTTTATTTAAACAAGCATAGGCAATTCTTATATTTCCACAACAAGATAAATATCCCAATTAAGCTAACAGCTCATCCTACAGCGTGCCATAGTGATGGGGAAAGGCCTAACATTAGTGTTATTTACACAGACATGTCCAATATTAACCCAGTATGAAAATTAAAAGTATGTTCAAGTGTGCAATTAAGTTCATATTATTTTTTCAAATAGTTGGATTTCTTGCAAAAATTCCTCTACGACTCATGTACATTTAGATGGGATGATTTCTCAAAGAACTCCTCCTAAGCACAATCTTGAGGACAAAATGTTTATTGGACTAGGGTGGCAAGGGCTGGGTGGGGGAAAGAACTTAATACTCCTCACAAAGAAAAAAATATTTTTAAAGTGGATAGATGTCTTTGGACAAGTGAAATTTAACACCCAAACCAACTAGATCTTGAAAACCCTAATTAAAGAAATATTCCAATTTTAAAAGCTTGAATGCAGAGAAAATGCTTTCATGAGGGAAGATTCACTCCAAGTCATTACTATACACTGAGGTACCACTCAAAAAGTGGCCATAAAGGAAGTGACTTCTTTGCCCATCACTATCACACTAGCTGCTTGGCCATAAATTCAGATCTCATTTAGACAACACTCTCTCTGTTACCAGAAGCTAAGACTGCTCTGCGACAAATGGGACAAGTGGAATTTTCTGATAACCAGCGATCAATGCAGTGGACATGATACTCGTGCGAACAAGGCAATTTACGGAGCTTGTTGCCTTCCGTGTACTCTGTAATACACACACTACAGGTTTTCAGAGCATCGCTCTCACCAAAATTCCTCATTGCTAGGTTGTCAATTTGTTCTTTGGTGAGTCCTCTTGGTTGGTCATCGTCATCTTCATTTAGTAGGAAAAATTGTGCTAGGCTAAGGAATGGTAGAGAACCACTTTCTTCAAATGTGACCGATCCCCTCGTGTTCCGACCTTCCCGTCTGGCACCAGATGTTGAACCACCTTCGTTGCCACCTTCATACACCTCCCCTGAGCTAACATCTGTACTTTCGTTGCTTGAAGTACCACCACCTCCGTTCTGTGGCTCAGAAGCGTCCACATTCTGATTTGGGGTTGGGCCACTAGGATCTGCATCACTATCACTATACATGAAGTAACTCAGCTCTCCAAAGCCTGTCATTATCTGCCTTAGCATAGTCTGAATAGCAACTGATGTCGTCTCACTCAAGCCTGTGTTTAAGATCCTACGGATAGGAATCCTAATGGTACTGACGTAAGTTCTCACTCCAGCCCGTTCTGAACGTGAAAATGTGCGCCTAAACCCTCCCCGTTCACTTTCATAAGTGACTGTGTTGTTAGGTGTCTGGGACCTGGACCGAGTTCTGTTGGCTATGCTGTCTCTTTGCCGATACTCTCCCGGACGAACTCTTCTCACCTGAAGATCAAGTACTATGGTAGGAGGCCTCTGCCCAGGGGTTGCAGACTCACTGGTGCCGTTAGTTTCTGAAGAACCTGCTGCTTGAGGAACAGGTCTTGTTTCAGGGGTTGAAAACAGAACTGCATTTTCACTTGGCATCTCAGTCCCCACTGTATGCTGCCTTAATGTCACATGCTGCCTAGTTCTAGAGCTTCCCTCGGCTTCATTCACTGAGGAGTGGTCAAGCGTTTGAGATGATGTATTGTGATGAGACCTGCGAGGAGTCTCACTCACTGGATTAATAGGTGACCTACTTCTATCAGTCCTAGCCCGCGTTCTCCGCTGTTCTGGACTCCTACTTCTCGCTCTCCTCTGCCCCCTAGGAGGGGAAGCTTCCTCAGTTGTCAGCTCTTCCGCAG